TAAGAGCTAGCCAATAAGAGGCTACAGATAACAGGCCAGGCAGTGTTTAAAAGAATACAGTTTCCGTGTAATTATTTCGGGGCATAAGCTAGCCATGTGGGCGGCCGGGTGCCGGGGACACAGCCCTGCCGCTCCTATTTCAACAGTTTCAGACATCTTCAAAATCACCAACATGATCAGCATCACACAGCCTCACTTGGTCATAGCGGCGTATGACACAGTGCCAACCCCGTTACTCAGCTCTAAGACACCAGCCAGACAAGGAGCACAGGGCTCAGCTTCAGGACCTCTCAGCAGGAACACTGTGGGACCACCCCCAGGCATCTTTGTTACCTGCTTGAGAAATACTTTCCTTCTAGGTGAGTTTCCAGCAGCTATACTGCTGAGAAATACAGATGGGGAAATGCTGTGGGAAGATTAAACATGATGTTGTTTTACCTTGGCGCTGATATTTTGAGTCAGAAAATTCTTTCTTATGGAGGACTGTCCTGTCTATGGTAAGACACTGAGCAACATCTCTGAACCCAAGCCTGGCGTAAGGACAACATTTCTCCCATGTATGACCCCTGAAAATGTCTCTGCCAAGTGAGTCCTGGAGGCGAAATAATTCCCTGTGATTGTAATCCACTCTTTTGTGACAGTGTAAGCGGAATATCACATATCACAGCAACCAACAGGGGGTGGGTGGGGGTGGGGGAATGTTTGGTTTCAGTTAGCCCTTTGAAGCATGCATCTAATTTGATATAGAAAAATTCTTCTTTCCTCTTGAATTTTTGGTGAGACTTCCTGGGGTCCATGATCCTGGGTGCTAGCTTGCTTGGTGTCAGGTGGAAGGAGATGAGGGACTTGCTCTCTCTCTCCTTATTTGCATTTAGCGCCATCCACACAAACAGAATGTGTCCTGACATAAGTTGATCTCTGTTGTGGTTGTCTTCTTCTTTTGCTTTTTCTCCTCCTCCTCTTCTTTCTCCCCCTCCTCCTCCTCCTCCTCCTCCTCCTCCTCCTCCTCCTCCTCCTCCTCCTCCTCTTCTCCTCATCCCCCTCCTCTTCTTCTCCTTCCTCTTCTTGTAGTTCATGGGAATTCAAGTTACAACAAACTACAGTTTATTTGGGACATGAAGCCAGCTGCTGCTGGAGGCTCCAGACCCTGCTGCCCACCCACCCTGGAAATACACGAGCAGAAAGGGGGATATTTTGGAGCCAGTCTGGAAAGCTCACTTTGAAATATATGACAAGTTCTCCAAACCCACAGTGATCTTGCCAGGTTGCTTTCCTGCGAATCAAGAGAAACACGACATCCTGACATTCTGACACAGAAGCTGCAGTGTGAGAGGCTTAAGGGGGCTTTGCCTCCTTATAAGGGGTGACAGCTTCTCTCCATTAATCAGAATGGAGGTGGAAACAGGGCAGGGAGGTTACAGTGAAGCTCAGGAAAGGCACACAGTGGGAGCCGAGGAATCACGATCCGTGCCCAGGATGTGCATTTTCACCAAACGAGGCCACAGGATGGTCCCATACGAGCTTGAAAACTGATGTTCAAGCAAGACTAACTATTTCAGAACTGTGTTTTTACTGGAAGCATCGCTGGAGGAAGTAAATACTAAGGTAAACAAGTCCATGGGTTGTGATGCTTTCTGTGAGGAAACACACTCAGGGTCTTGTGAATTCTCCCAGGGAAGTTGACAGAAACAAGGAAGTGGCTGCCTGCCTCTGTGGGTCCACAGGTGTATTTAAGGGCCCCTTGAAGCCAAGGCAATCACACCTCCCTCTCCTCTCCTGAGTCTCTCTCCTCACTGCACCTGAGTCCTCTCTACTGACAACATGGGTTGTTGTGGTTGTGGTGGCTGCGGTGGCTGCGGCTGCGGTGGCTGCGGCTGTGGTGGTTGTGGTTGTGGCGGCTGTGGTTGTGGCAGCTGTGGCTGTGGTAGCTGTGGCTGTGGCAGTTGTGGCTGTGGCTGTTGTGGCTGTGGTGGCTGCTGTGGCTGCTGTGGCTGTGGTGGCTGCTGTTGCCGCCGCTGCTGCTGCAGCTCCTGTGGCTGTGGCTGTGGGAAGGGCTGCTGCCAGCAGAAGTGTGGCTGCTGCCAGCAGAAGTGCTGCTGCAAAAAGTGTTGTTGCTAGGACGGTTGCTGGCTCTGCTTCTAAGCTAAACAATGCTTAGGGCCTTGTTCCCTGCATGTGTTAAGACTTTTGGCCACCCATCCTGTTGCCTTTCTTCCTTCTTATCTACCCACGTACACTGGAAATGCTTTTTCAGTCTTTTGTACTTTGAAGTTTCAGGGTTGTTTCCTGACCTTCTTGGTGATATCCAGGCTCCTACAGTTAGTTCTTCCTGTCCTCTAGGACTTTGTCCTCATGAGGCCTATATTCCCTGTGAGCTTTCTAATCTTGTTTAGCACATAATCTGAACCTTATGGGTAAGAACAAAACTATATATGTCAAAATATATGTATATAATGAGTTTAAGATAATATCACTTTGTTAAAGAATTATGGTTAACCTTTTACTCTTTTGTTATATATTTTCACTAACTTCGTTCCTAGCTCTGCAATTTTGTTTAAAATGAAAGCGACTCATTCTCAATAATTAAAATAAAAATACAAGCTACTCTAATGTGTCTGTCTGGTTTGTAAAATGTGGTCACTTGCATGGGGGGAGGTCAGTGGGACAAGAAGAGGTGACATTCAGACTCCAGAGAGATTTCCTTGGTGGATGTCTAGTCCTTATCACGTCTTAGAATAAATTTTACAATAAAGATAGAAACTGGCATCTCCAACCTTCAGCCATCAGTGTCATAGAGGAAAATCCCAGCCTGTTCTTGCAGGGACCGTCATGACGCGCAGCTGAGCAACAGCTGGAGTGTTGGACAAGTCACAGCCTCACCCCGCCACTGTCACCCATGCCCGCACACAGGTGGTGAGTGCTGTATTGGGCCAGGTGTCCCACGAAGCCCTCGATATCCAAAGTTAAAGCAACGCTGGTCTTCAGAGAGTCAGCATCAAAGAGGGAGATGAATAAACTGGAATCAATTACAACAGTTCCCTAATGCCTAGCATTCTCTGATTGGTCACCCTTTCTCCCCTCCTATCCAGACTACGTAGATGTTTGCGCGCTTTGTGGAATCCTGTGGCAGGCTACTGGCACAACGAGATTCTCAGTTTGCTTGCTGACCACACTTTCCACAGCCTTGAGAACAAGAGCGCAAGTCAGAAATCCTCCCATTCCAGCCCCCTCCCCTTCTGTGAGTACACTCCACCCTCTCCCCTTCCCTGCACTAACAGTTACCATACACACATCCTAGTTTAACCATTAACACTGCCTGGCCCTGCTAAAACCCTTGCCTCGGAGATGTTTACTCTCTGGGTTCCTGTGATGAGAGGTTTATTCTGAGATAGACCTTCCCTCCCTTCAGAACCACACCCTGGCTTTTTCTTCTTAGACACTTGACCTCCCAGTAACTTTTACCAAGCTGATCATTGGACAGAACTGAGAAACCTTACCCAGGCTTCCTGCACCCCCCTTCCCAGGCTTCCTGCACCCTCTCTAACAAGCTGTGGTGCCCCCATGCTGTTCTTTTGCCTCCTGCTATCCTGTCTGGTTGCACCTTCCACCACGTGAACCTCCAGTCTCAGACCCTAGCTTGGTCTCTCCTCTCATTATTCGGATCTCCGTTCTCATATGATCTCCACTCTCCCCTAGTTTTTGCTTCCCAGGAACGGAATACTTTCTAATCAGTCATAAAATTCATTCACTTACCAGACCTACAGTTTGGTGTTCCCCTCACCTAACCCCATCTCCAACCAGGCTGTGACTGCTTCAAGGGAAAGATTAGTACTGACAGAGCCAATGCCCTTAGAGGCTTGACTGACAGATACACAGTATCCAGTTAATAACTTCCTAATAAGTGGTTTCTAAAATGTGGTTTTCTTACATGCAAAACTTGAGAACAGTGCCAAAACTTGCCAAGAGCCACACTCCAGCCAGTAGTTCCCTAAGCCAGCCTCTCCTGGGAGGCTGCAGGTGCCCTTCCCAGCACAGGATCCAGATCTCATCAGCAAATAGAATATGTTTTTGGGACTGACTCCCCCAAGATGGTAACTATTGCTGTTCCGTAACAAAGAAACAAAATGACCTCTTAGAATCTGAGGTCTTCTTTCACCCACGGGTGTGGAGCAGACCAAGATACCTTTCACCTTTCAAAATATGTCAATCCCTTTCTGGGAGAGCCAGTTTTGCAAAACTGGTGTGTTGAGCAATGCACAGAATTCTCCCACGCTCAGGTTGTGGCTACACACTCACAAGTAGCCTCTTCACAAACCATAGGGGTAGATCCAAGACTCCTGAAGGCCGGTTAACCAACTTCATTTCTGCTTGCTGGGAGCTCTTTAAAGTCAAACATGGTTTCTTGGGGAAATTATTTTTTATTTTCATAAATTATTTCTTAAAGACATTTTTAAGTATTTCCTTTTTAACCAGTGGGAAATCTATGTTAAGTAGATAAAATTCAATTGAAAAGCCTTTGGGAACTGGTGTGTATAGATCAGTGGTACATACCTATACTCAAGGACCTGGGAACTATTTGTAGCAAATAAATATGAACTAGTTGTACCAAACACTCTTAATGCGCCAAGGAAACATCCACCCACTTCCTTGGAGTCCAGAGACAGTGCATAGAGTTGGCTCTAAAGACTGATGTCCTAACTGAAAGCTTAATGCCTCTTTGTTAGTCACTTTCTTCCTTGGTAAACTGGGAATCACGGCTTACCTTTCCCCTGATTCTTAGTTGAAATAAACGAATTCATAGGAAAAGACAAACGGAACAAAGGAACAGCCCTGCTTTCTCTTCATCTTCCCTTACTAAGCTGAACGTGGAGAGTCAGCCCACCAAGGTTGGTCTCTTCAGGTACTGGCTTCTCTTTTTAACCCAGGACAAACCGGCTCAGGGACCTGGGATTCTAGTTTGTAGATCCAAACCCTGGGGGGCTTCATTAGCATATGCAAAGTTGGGCGTGGCCTTCGAGTAAGCGGTGACACAGCGGCCAAGTCCACCTTATTAGAGTTCGCGCACCTACATAGCTGAAGGTACTAGATGTCCTGGGTAAGTGAGGAACACCCGTTTCCATAGGTAAGCTCTTCCGAGAAGTGAAGTTAATTACAGAAATTCCAGTAACTCGGGGCCACTTGCTTCTCCCCGCTGGCCTGTTTGGAGGAGAGGTGGGGGTGGGAGACTGCGGAGGAGCAGTGCCTTACGCGCGTGCGCCAGCCTGCACACCAGCTGGCTTCAGTTTCAGGGGCCTTCTGTGATCTGCAGAATTCCTGGCTTGCTGGAACCCACCCAAGCTGGTCTAGCGAGGATTCCTATACAGCCCTCCCCAAGAGTAGATTAAGTAAAAACCATTCTGGTCTAGTGCCAGGAGCTGCCATGGTCACACCCAGCTTCTCAGGTTTTAACTAAAAGCAATACCAAATCCCAAGCCAAAATACGAAAAGTTCCTTCCAAAGGAGGAAAGGAAAGGCTAACTTTGAAATTAAAGAATCAAGATTGTTGAGAACTATTTCAATAGAAACGAACACAAAGCCGTGTATCGTATCCGGTCAGTGCCCCTGCGGTAAGGAAATGCTTTATAGAATTGCAAAGAGCCCTGGTTCCACCAGCCAGGATCCACACGTGCACCCTGCTGTCTCCAGGGGCAAACGGCATTTTTGTATTAAGCATACATTTTAAATAGACCTAGACATTAACTAATTTTCCAAATATGTTTATTTTTTTTTTCGTGTTGCCTCAGAAGTAGCAGAAGCAGAAAACATACGAACCTGGTTCAGTCAGTTTTGCTAATGGAGCAAATTACTCTGTAATTCAAGAATGTCAAAGGACAACGTTTGAGTACTTTAGTTTAATGGTCCGAAAGGGTTCTAGAATGGACAGGGAGGTGGGTTTACAGTAAGAGTGAAAACTGTACAAGTCCTTTCGGGGTCACTGTCTCTACCTGAGGTGACAGGGGCAAAAGGAATAGGAAAATAAGTAACATGTTAACAATAGGTGTAAGAATTAACTTGGGAAACTCAGCTAACAGTTTAACTACACCATAGTAACCCAGGACTTTGGCAAGAAGGACTCTTGATTTTTAGCCAGTGGGGCCTAGTGCCTACACTTTGTAAGAAAACAATGGCCTTCTGTAATGTTTTTTTTTTTTAATCTAACAGCTAAGTAGCTAAAGATGAATTTGTTCTGCCCCCGCCCCGCCCCACCCCTTAGCCATTAACATAAAGTTTTCTGCTCTTTATCTCTTTGAAATCGTTCCTGAAACGGTGAGAACACAGAAGCATCAGTTCTGGAGCGCTCTGTGTGTGATGTGTGCTTGCGTGAGAAGAGATGAGCTTGTCACGTGCCAAGATTGTCACGTGACTGCCATGGCAGTGTTGTCACCTGAGCTGTCCCCCTGACTCCTTTTCTTTTAAATTGATTTTTATTGAACTCTACATTTTTCTCTGCTCCCCTCCCTGCCTCTCCCCTTCCCTTCAACCCTCTCCCAAGGTCCCCATGCTCCCAATTTACTCAGGAGATCTTGGTGTTTTTTTCTATTTCCCATGTAGATTAGATCTGTGTATGTCTCTCTTAGGATCCTCGTGGTTGTCTCTGTTCGCTGGGATTGTGATTTGTGGGCTGGTTTTTTGTTGTTGTTATTTTTTTCTTTTTTTTTTTTTGCTTTATGTTTAAAAATCACCTATGAGTGAGTACATGCGATAATTGTCTTTCTGGGTCTGGGTTACCTCACTCAAAATAATGTTTTCTAGCTTTATCCATTTGCCTGCAAAATTCGAGGTGTCATTATATTTTTTCTGCTGTGTAGTACTCCATTGTGTAAATGTACCACATTTTCTTTATTTGTTCTTCGGTCGAAAGGCAGTTAGGTTGTTTCCAGGTTCTGGCTATGACAAACAATGCTGCTATGAACATAGTTGAGCACATGTCCTTGTGGCACGATTGAGCATCCTTTGAATATATACCCAATTGTGGCGATTTCTCAGAAAATTAGGAAACAACCCCCCTGACTTCTGTATTGTAAGAGAAGCTAGACACATGACAAGCAAAGCCAGAGCCAGGAGGAACATAGAGGGTCAGATTTCAAAGTCAGGTCCTTTCCACGGACCAACACTGCTGCCACTGCGGACTCAGGCCTAATGAAGAAGCAGTAAAAAGCGAACAGACAGACAAACACACCCCAGCTTGAGAGAGTTTGCAGTTAAGATAGGGGGACAGTTTAACAACTGTGACTGAGTCTTTCTGAGTCAAGAATAAATAGAGGGGTAAAGGTGTTGATGATTTTAAGTAACTCTGGAGGACACAGGTAATGGAAAGAGATTCTGAAGAATGGGTCCATTCATGGAACGGGGCATTGGATACTGAGTAAAGCAATGCGGAGTGGGATAATTAGAATATTGCCTCTTCCCTAGGAAAAGCGAATTGAATACCTATGGACAAGATTTTTTTTTAACAAAGTTATGAGTTGCCACAGTACAGAGCTATAAAATAGATGGACCGATTCCTGAAACACAGTTTTTCCCACCCTCATGGCATGTTTTCAAGGCATGTTTTCAACCGTTCCTCACCCTTCCCTGACTGTGATGAGGTTTTATTGATTTTCTTTCTGGGTAAGCTGCTCCCCACTTTTATAGTTCAGCTAATCAGATGTCTCCCTACAGTTCAGTTAAGCCGTAGAAATGCAGAGAAAACATACCTGGGGAGATGATGCCAGACCCAAATAAAAAGGGTAATAGCATACACGATAAAACAGAGCGTGAAGCGTGTGTTTCCCGTGTCACGTGCACTCTGACAGTGGCTTTGACCGAAAGAAGAGTCCTTCGGGCTTGTTTATTGTTTATTGGGCCCGGTACACACCTTTTGAATTTGTGTGGAATGTGCCTTCCCACGGCTAAGATTGGGAGTTGGCATGAAGGTTGACCAGTGAGTTTGGGGCTCCTTCCTAGTTTTCTCGGTGCCTACACCACTTAGTACAACGTTCTAGAGAAACTGGATTCCTCTAAGGATGACATTCAGAGCAAAGAGGATGTTCTTTTGAATTTGTAGACCCTCCTAACTACTAGTGTTTCAGGAAGTTTTGAGCCTAGGTGCTTGCTTGTTTTATTTGCCAAGATTCCAAAAGACGGTGGCCGGGTGTGGGCTCTGGAGCAGTCAGCCTTCCGGAAGGGGCCCGGGCTACTGCCCTGGCAGACGGGTTCTTAAGGAACGCCTTCCTCCCAATTTAAAGGGCTTGCAGCGGCCGTGCTTCACAGAAGCTCGAAGGCGTGGAAGTGAGGCTAAGGCAGGAAGCTAGTCCCCAGCTCAGGACGTTGAAGCCAGAGGTACTTGATCTATCTAATTGATCTGAAGGGGCCGGACTTCGGCTTCCTCGTTTGCCCGGGATATGTCTTGTGCTCCTGTTTCTACTCTACGTTTCCTCGGACAAACCCAAAGTCAAAGACAGTGTAGGGCTTTCCATTCATGTAGGAGCCCTGCTCTCGCGTGAATTGGAATTACCAGTCACTGTGCCTGTAAGGAAAATGGAGGGCTACTGTAAAACGCGTTGGAGGAGGGAGGGGGAGGCTGCCTTTCATCATATGGGGTATAACTCTTTCAACACAGAGAACAGATTTAAGTTTGAGTGTTTGTAATTAAACCCCTACTTATAATTAGCTCATTAAGGTACAGGATATTTAATAACCCCGAAAGTGGCCTTGTGTATCCACTCCCCCTTCCCAGCTCCCCGCCTCGTCAGAATTCTGGTTTCAGTCAACATGAAGTACGGTAGTTTTGTCTACTTAGGGACCAGGTATAAATGGAATTACTCAGTGTCTTTTTTCGTGTCTGGATTCCTTTGTGGAACATAGTGTCTGAGGTTAATTTACCTTTGTTCAATAGGGCCTCCCTGTGCTAAGGTGTACCTTATGAGTTGGATAAAAACCTTCAGCTGTCACCACAGCCAAAGCTGTCACGAGAACATTCTTTTCTCAACCCGAACCTCCATGTTCTCTGTTGCTCTTGTTCCCCTCCCCTAACCCCACTCAAAGCAACCACCCATCTACTCCGTGTCTCCTTAGGTCAGGCTTGCCTGCCTAGGACTCTGTGTGTGAGGGTGGGGTCCTCTGGAATAGCATAAAGATTTGCTCCCCATCCTCAGCTCGCAATAGTGTGGTCCTTGTAACCATCAATTGCTATTGGTTGATGAAAAGATACTGGGTTGTGTCTTCCTTTCCCCAACTAACGCTTCAGCTGCTCCTCACCTTTCACCGGAACTCTCTCGGACAGCTTGCCAAATGGCGTTCACTGTTTTGTCCTTCCTCAAAGCAACGTATACACGTTAGTCAGCTTGAAATCCTTGCCGGCGTTCGGTATGCTTGCTCATCAGTTTTCCTTCAGCCTTCCGTGTGTCATCAGCGGCAGCTGGGAGGTGTGATTTCTGAGAACTTCTGAGGAGCATCTATCTGCCTGTGCTTCCAGACAGCCACATTTCCGTGAAGCTTTCAGATCTCCAGCTCGTCCTTTCTCCCTGCGCTCTAGGGATTTACTTCACATTGTGAATGGCATTCCTTTCACAGACGTTGGTGGTATAGCTGTTAGATCTATAGCTCCCTTCCCAATTTTTGAACAGTATCTCTCCATTAGCAAATGTATATGGGTTTAGATTTTATAAAATTCTATGTCTCTCCTTTTTTGTTTCTTCTTAGTGTTTTTTGTCTTTTCTTTGAAATATTTACCAGTTCCTTGGTCCCAAAGATCTGTTTTCTTCTGGGTAATCTGTGATAGTGTTACACTTTATATATCAGACTGGTTTTTACAAAACCAGAGGTTATGATAGTAACAAGCATTTTTAAATTTGACCAGTCACAGCCAAAATACAGTAGCATAGGTAGAAATGTGTAGATTCAAGTTCCAGTCCAGGGTTTGTAACAGAGGAATAGGCTTTGGCGGTAGCCTGGCACCCTTTGTCTATGCCTCCTCCTGCAGGCCTGCCTTGATTAACATGCCTGCAGGCCTTCTGACTGTTCCATTCAAAGTTAAATTCTCTCCGTTTAGTAATGAGTAGAGGGAAAAATCATACTTAGCTTTTATGACTTGATATTGGT